GTTACCCTCTCTGCTTCCCTTTCTGATTTGTGGACAGGCTGAGAATGGGTGTGACACAGGCTTGCCCTGAAACTTGAACCTTCAGCCAGACACTAAGCATAAGGTAGAAACAGAGCAGGTAGTGTCCAGGTCCCTAGGAGCAGCCAGATGCAAGTCCCTGGTTCCCAATGTGAGCCCTGGCGAGGCTGCGCACCTCAGCTATCTTCCACATGGACCTGCCCCCAGTCCCCAAAGGGCCTACAGACATCTGGCTAGTGTAGGCCCATCCCAAATTCCATACCATCTCCCTTCCCTGAGGTTTCCTCTGAAAATATATTTTAGTAACTTCTAAACAAATCACATCACCTCTCCCGGTTTTTTATTTGTTTAGTTAAATTAATTCTATTTTAATATTTCCATTAGCCATTTAATTTATTCTAAAATCCAACACTGCAAAGCAATAAAATTTCTCAAATATTGACAGACAGTAAGTAAATGCCATCCACATACAACCATCTGTTTTTTTCCTCCAGATTCCTCGGGATGTAGCATGAGCAGTTGAGGCTGATAAACGGGCCTTTGTGGGCCTGTGGCATCTGCTGGGCTTGGAGCTGGGTAGCCGGGATCGATACGAGGCTCCCACTCCACAGAATGAAAGAGACGGGTGGTGAAGAGCTGGAGCACCCTTGAGAAATCCATCCTACACACAGAACCAAAGTTCCAGATTTTGGAAATGCGTAAATGGAGTGGGCCCAATGGAGGGGTGGTGTCTCAGGAGGCTCTGCGCCTCCCTGAAGATCTACAGGCAGTTCATGGTCGCTGAAGAAGGGAGAGACATTTCCTTCAGTGGTGTAATTAATGGCAAGTGGTCCATGCATCTGAAGTGGCCCCTCACCCATGCTTCTGTGGGTGGCCCTGGCTGAACTCTTTGGCTCACATACACACACACACACACACACACACACACACACACACACACACAGATAAAAAAACAAAACATGAAAGTGAGGGGGACCCTTATTGAGAAACAGAGAGGATCAATAGGAACAAGGAACGAGAGGGACAAGTGGAGGCGAATATGATCAAAATCCATTATATGCATGTGTGAAAATGTCATAACGAAATTCATTACGGTGTGCAATTAGTATATGCTAATAAAGATATTTTAAAATTAATAAGCTGGGCCCAGCTAGATGGCTCAGTTGGTAAAAAGCATTTGTTGCCAAGCCTGACAACCTGAGGTCAATCTCTAGGACCCAAATGGTAGAAGGAGAGAACCAACTCCTGCAAGTTGCCTTGTGACCTCACAAGTGATACTATTGCATGTAACACACACGTGCGTGCGTGTGCGCACACACACACACACACACAAATAAATGAAGGTAATAAAAAGTCACTTACTTGGATAAGCTCACTTGAACTATAATGTTTGTCATTGTCCAGCCGCCTACCCACCAAGTGGCCTCCAGTGTCTCTTGGCCACATACCTTTCCTATCTGCACTGACCATGACACCCAGTCCCCCTCCCTCACACTGACACTACCCTTCATGAGTGGCAGATGCCCTCTTTTCCTGCCAGGAAGCCTGCAGAGATGAAAGGTCAGCATGGGCACACAGCAGACATGGTGTCACAAAGGTAGAATTAGCCTAGGCCACACCTCACAGCTCTTGTGGTACCCCTCACTAACTTTGGGGCTCTGCTTTAGCGTGATGGGATGATGGAATCTGTTCTTAGAGCTTCCAAGAAGCGAGGTACCAGATTCTTTCATCCTTGAGCTATGGGAGTCTGGCATATCCCTTCTTACAATATCAGCTAGCCTCAGGATGCCCTGAAGGGTGTGGGATATATCTGCCTGCTACCCACACTGGGACCCAAGATGCTGTTGCAATCCTGAGACAGCTCCAAACATCCAACTTGATCTCTAAGAAGAGAGGTCATGCCTGGGCCTCTATGTCCTGATGAGGCCCTCCACTCTGCAACCACAGACTGTCTACCCTAGCCAGCAGTGTGTAGAATGTTTCAAAACTCATACAGTGAATACATTAAAATTCCTCTCCTGGCTACCACCAAGGGTCAAGGCAGACCCATGTATACGTAGTCATGGATAGGTTGAGTCCCCTCATCCAGTTCCTCTCTGACATTACCACGCTGCTCCCTCCTCTTCTGCTATGGTTCTGAGCAGAGCCTTCCTGCAAGGATGAAGAAGACCTACACCATGCAAGCACTCGACCTTGGCTGCTCCACCAGACACACATTTGTCCACACATCAGCTGTCCTGTCACTGCCTACTTGAGCTGGAGATGAGACAGGAACCAAAGAAGAGCACACGCAATACCCACAGCACTGCGTCCAAGGATAAGCTGTAAATAAGACAGTGGATATTCTAGTTTGCTTTCTATTTCTGTGATGAACATCACTGAAGGCAACCTGGGAAGGAATGGGTTTATTTGGCTTACACATGCTGATCCCAGTCCATCACTAATGGAAATCAGGACAGGAACTCAAGCAGGAACAAGAACCACATAGGAGAGTTACCTGCTGGCTTCCTCTTGGGTCAATGGTTAGCCATCTTTCTTATACCCCCAGGACTAACTACCCAGGGGTGACACCACCCAGGGTGGGCTGGGTCTTCCCACATCAATCATCAATCAAGAAAATGCCTTCACGCCGGGCGTTGGTGGCGCACGCCTTTAATCCCAGCACTTGGGAGGCAGAGGCAGGCGGATTTCTGTGAGTTCGAGGCCAGCCTGGTCTACAGAGTGAGTTCCAGGACAGCCTCCAAAACAATACAGAGAAACCCTGTCTCAAAAAAACAAAAACAAAAAAAAAAAAGAAAAAAAAAAGAAAAAAAAAAGAAAATGCCTTCACATACTTGCTTACAGGTCAATCTAATGTGGGCACTTTTCTCACCAGATGACTCTAGTTTGTGTCAAGTTGACAAAAGACTAATCAACACAGTGGGATCTGTTTCTTGAGGCCCCAAGGTCTTCAACATCCAGTCATAGCTTCAGCTCCAGAGAAACTTTGCTCCCCTCCCAGACTCCCCAGGCCACCACCAAGGGACCTGAGACACCACCCAGAGTATAGTGTGGTCCTACCCTGATGTCCCACACTGGAATTTTGTTGATCTTCTGTAAACCCACGACAAGTATAAGCATGAGACCCACGAAATGAACTACACCAAGGAGAGAGGACAGACGGCAGGAATGCAGGTCAGGAGTACCAGGCACTACACCCTGCTTAGAGCTCCATGAACCTCAGTCTCATCTGACCTGCAGTGTGCACATCACACAGCCGTGTGTCCCCAGGACCTGCTGCACTTTCATGTCCCCATAACCAGCCCACTCGGTGGCATGCCTTCGGTTTTTGCTTCAATGCTGAACTCAATAAAAGGAAGAAAGCTAACTGAATACCAGTACTCATCTGTCTCTGTTCCTCACTCTGGGATATAATAATGACCAGCCAACTGAAGTGCCTGCTGCCTTGACCTCCCCTACATATAGACTGTGCTTTGTGTGTGTGTGTGTGTGTGTGTGTTTGTTTTTTTGTTTTGTTTTGTTTTGTTTTTTACGAGACAGGCTTTCTCTGTATTGTTTTGGAGGCTGTTGGTCCAGCCCGGCCTCGAACTCACAGAGATCCGCCTGCCTCTGCCTCCCGAGTACTGGGATTAAAGGCATGTGCCACCAACGCCCGGCGTAGACTGTGCTTTTGGACTGGAAAATTATATTTTTAAATGATGAAGAAGAAATTTGCCATCCCTCAGCAAGAAAAAAAAAGTCTCCTTGCAACTGACAGAAGCTGTTACAGTAAAACCACCACTAATCAGAGGAGATGGAGAAAAGTATGGTTGGGAAGAGCCATGGGCTGTGGGGGAGATGGGCTAGCTGGCAGCTGCGTGGCATTCCGGTCAACATCTATTTAACCAATGTATGAGTCAGGCCCTGAGTCCAGTCGGACCATTGTCATGAGGCTTAGGTAAGGTGGGCCACCGAGGACCAGTGTCTCCCATCAAGGACACAGGCAGGGACAGAGGAATGAGATCAAATAGTGGAGAGGCCAGAGGTATGGGCTTTGCCATCACCAGACCAAGGTTCAACACTAAGGCTTGTTTATTTCTGAGTATTTTATATGTAGAACTCCTGCTGGGAGGAAGTGAGACCCAGGGTTTGCAAATGAGATACATAGATAACACTCCAGCTCCTAGCCACTGAGGTTTTCACAGACGGTCTACTGCACCTGCTCAATGGGCACACAGCTTCCTGTGTGAGGATGTTCCAGTTTTAAAGAGGTGACAGAGAAGTCACTGATCTAAGCCCGTCAAGCTAGCAAGGGACAGCAGACCCAGAAAGCAGGTCATCTGACTTCAAGGACCTTGTTCCTGGTCTCACCCATCTGCTTCAGCAGAGTAAGCTTGTCCACTCCAAATCTCTGCCAGGGGAGAGGTGTGAGGGCATTTTCACAATATTCCGATGGCCATCCTCTCGGAGTCTAAGAAACTCTGCCCCAAACTGCAACAGTGCAGACTAGAAAGCATGAGGCAGCAGAGGTGTGGGCCAGTCTGAAAAGGAAACCCCACACACCCTGAGAGTCACTCTCAACACCTTGCCTCCCAAACGTCTCATTATTTACAACTGCTTTTTACCAGTCAAGCCCTGGGCTCTCGCCTCTGCCACCTCTGTCACCTTGGAGGGTGATCCAGGCTCCTCCCCATATTCCTTCTGGGGTCAAGAATGGTGTTTCTGCAAGACACCATTTGAGAGGCTCCCTCAGGCTCCAGGAAAGTGGGAAGAAATCTCAAACCAGTGCCCCAGAACAGGACAATCAGTGTCTCCCATCAATCCTCCTATACCAGCATGTCAGACTCTGGCAGGATTTACGGAATGGGAGGGACCCAAGACAATGGCTGCCTCTCCCCCAGCTCTCCAGCAGCCTGTTCCCACGGTGGGCTCCGGCAGAGCCTACGGCATGATGGGAATGGTCAGCTCCTAGGAGTCGCAGGCTGTATTCCCCCCATGGTTACCTCAGACCAGGGCTTCCCCACATCCTCCCTCTCTTTCTTCTCTGCGGCACTCTCCGTAGTCTCTGCAAGAAGTGTGTCTCCTTTCAAAGCAGAAAAGGAAGGAAAGAAAACAATGAAATAACTCTGCAATGTCTTGTTTGTCCTAAGAACAGCTCAAGCTGCTCCCACAAGCCTTTGGGGTAGCATCACTGCAGTTGCTGGGGTCAGAAACTAGACCCTGGCAGCCCGAACAAGCTAAGCTCGGTAACTTTTCCTCGCTGTGACAAAAGTACCAGTGCTAGGTAGAAATGGATATATTTGGAGAATATGGCCACATTGGGAAGAACAAAGATGCCAGGTTATGCTCCCGCCACTCCTAAAGTTCGCTTTGAGGATTTGGCAGGAGGTTCTGGTTTCTGTAGACAGTGTCGGTATGCGTGTCTGACAAAGCAGTGCCAGTCAAGGTGAGGTGCCTCCACCAATGTCTCAGCTGTCCTCAAGGTGATCTGACAAGCTGTCAGAACTGGGTGAAATCCTCTTCCAGAAAACAAGCATTGTCCCGTGCCCCCCGGCCCCCAAGCTGGCACCAGAACCCTAGTCTTGTCCTCCCAGCATAAGATCCCTGGGAAAATTCCAATTTCCTGGGGTCCAAGTCTCAATAGTCTAAGAGCCAAAGAGAGGGGCACAGTGTCTCTCTGGAATATCTTCCTGCTGGGCTGGCTGCAGAACCTGCGTAGGTCTGCATTTCCAGGGAACTCACATGAGAAGACCTGGCACTGACTGCAAGTGTAAAACTGAACACAACACACTCCCCAGTCATAGCCCTGCTATTACGCTACAGGCTGGCTGCCTTAATGAGCTTCAGTTACACATGTCACCTGTCCCTTACCTCCACTCAGGGCCTGGGCCTGGCTTAGCAAGCTAGGATTAGTGCCACAATGCACAAGAAGAGTAAAAACCAAAAGGCCTGAAGAGATGGAACTTGTGTCTTTCCCATCTCCCCTTTGGTTACCCTGCATTCTCTGCACTGTCTGATCATTGCACAGGAACTCTCTATCACCTCTGGAGACTGCGCCTATAGTCCAGTTGGCGCAGTACTTACTGTACGGAAAAGGGACCAGCCAAAGAAACACTCTGAGCTGAGCCAAAGAAACACACTTTGACCCTGCAACCAGAGCCAAATCTGACCCTAACCCTGTGCAGAAAACTAACCAATCCTTGAGCGGGAGCTCTAGCCAATCTGAGCTCAGTTTTGAAATCTGACCAATCCCCACCCTAGAAGCCCTATATAAACCCTGTGTCTGTTTAGCATGTGGCTGTTTGTGCTGCCTGGCTGTCCTCTACTTCTCTGGCAGAAGGCAGCCACTCTTCTGGATTCTTCCCTCCCAATAAACCCCTTGGATGAGTTTTGAGTGAAGGCCTTCTTTTGTGGCAGATCAGAGACGATTCAGGGTGGAGCAGAGCAAGCAGGGTTGTAACATTTCTGCAGGGGAAACTTTCCCCTGGCAGAGTGGAGTTCTTACACTCCACTCTCCACTCTCCCAGGAACAGAGCTGAACTGTAGCAGCTTCACCCTGGAAACTTTCTCCTACAGGAGCAAAACTGCTACACTGGGCGAACATCCCCAGCTGGAAGACCCTGTCCTGCCGGAGCAGAGCCGATACACTGGGGAAGCCTTTCCCTGAGGCTGGGCTGTAAGCTGCTACATTTACTGCAACCTGTGGTGGTCCTTGGCTCCCAAGCTCCAGGATACCTTTCCATCTGAGCTGTGTAGCACACAGTATTCTGTGGCTCCCAAGCTCCAGGATACCTGTCCCACCCAATTCATCCAAAATGCCTGCACTTCCCCAGCATGTACACAGCTCTGGATTCTACCCCTAGCACCACATAGACCAGGTATGGCAGTGAATGCCTGTAATCCAGCATTGAGAGATGGAAGGAGGAGGGTCAGAAGTTCGAGGCCCCCACCAGGTTTAAGGCTAGTCCGCTCTACATGAGATACAAGAAGAGGTCTGAGTATAGAGGGCAAGCAATGAGGTTTCCAGGTTCTTGTGTCTCTTTACAACGAATTGTACAGAAACGTGCGGATAGTTAGAGGAAAGGAGATGTTTATTACTAGAAGAGACAGAGGAACTCTTACGGCCTGGTTCAAAGTCTCAATCAAAGTCTCTGTCTCTGTCTCTGTCTCTGTCTCTCTCTGTCTCTGTCTCTGTCTCTGTCTCTGTCTCTGTCTCTGTCTCTCTCTGTCTCTGTCTCTCTCTGTCTCTCTCTGTCTCTCTCTGTCTCTCTCTGTCTCTCTCTGTCTCTGTCTCTCTCTCTCTCTCTCTCTCTCTCTGGCTTTTCCAGACAGGGTTTCTCTGTTTAGCTTTGTAGACCAGGTTGGCCTCTAACTCACAGAGATCTGCCTGCCTCTGCCTCCGGAGTGCTAAAGGTAGGTACCACCACCGCCCGGCCTCCGGCCTTTGTCTCTCTTAAATTTGTGCAGTCCTGACTTTTCTGAGCATGCTCTCTGAATGAAGCTCAAGTGGGCTAAGGGCTTTTCCCCTACTGTCACCTTTTGTATGTCAAACTCTGGAATTTTCTCCTTTACAGTTTTCCCAGTGAGGCATGCATATATATCCTCTCAGCATGTGAAACTTGGCTATCTGGCCAGGCAGCCCCTCCAGGCTGCCTTTCACAGATTCTTCAGGCTCTACCCTGAAGGCTAGGAAGACCAAAAGCACTGCTTAGCTTTAAGCAATCTACTTAAATGCCAGAAAAAATATGTCACGCCTAGGTTTAGGTCACTGAGGATGGAGGAGAGCATGGAACAGTATATTGAGAAAGATTCTGAGGCTGCCTCTCAGTTCAAACTAAAAGTACTCTGTAGTGGATTGGTGATGCCTGCAGAGGGCACAGAAGGTTCTCTGAGGGTATGAGTGTCAGGAAGCTGTCAACCTTGCTGCAGTATGTCAGACACAGGGGGTCGGTTGGGGTAGTGAGGGCCACAGAGCCATGTTGCCAGTCATGGAGCCATTTGTGAATCGCCATTTGGGGAGTGTCACTTTTAAGACTGTAGCCGTCATTCCTAGGAAGATGTCTGATACCATTTCAAACCATTTCCCCACTCTTGTCTGACTTGTTGAAAATTTCAATGTGTTTATTATTATTATTTTGTGAATGTGCACATGATGCATGTGCGGGGCACAGCTGTCCCACAATGCACATGTGAAAGCCAGATGGTGACTTCGGAAAGTTAGTTCTCTCCCTCCACCGTGGGCATCCTCAGGTCATCAGCCTTGAGTGGCATCAGCACTTTATCTGCTGAGCTCCCTGGCTGGCCCCTTGCTTGTCTTTTCCAAAGCCCTGTCATTCTGTCCACATTGCAGATGAGAAAGTTGTATCTCCACTTATTCAGATAAATCGACTCTCACCAATGAAAAAAATCTACACGTGTGGCTTTATACCAAAAAAAGTTGACTTTCTGGGCTGGGGAGATGGCTCACTTGGTAAAGCCAAATAAACATGAAGACCTGAGTTCAAATTCCCAGAACCCATAGAGAGCCAGACACACTAGTGTTAGCATTTCCACCGGTCTGCCCTCAGGGACTGATCAACAGCAGGGAGTCACCCTACTGTCAGCAGCAGCAGTCACGACCTGTGCCCACTGTTGCCACTGCTGCCCAGAGTCCTGCACTCTCCCCATGCGCATGCGCTATGTCCGGTATAAAGCACAAGCACCTTCTATGTCTGCTCTCTGCTCCTTCTGCTCTTGCTCGGAGGGAGCCTCTGCACCACCCCCAATAAACCCCTCGTGTGGGATCTGTTGCATGGACTTTGTGGAGCCCACTGGCTCCAACCCAGTCCCCTTGACTACAACACCCCCACCCTTAGATCCTTAGGCAGACAGGAGAATCTTCAGAATCTGGTGTGCCAGCCAGCGTGGATGCAGCAGCTTTCCAGGGACCCTAAGAAATGTCCAGCAAGATAGCTTAGTGGGTAAAAAGAGCTTGCTGAGCAAACCTGACAAGTAAATCGAATCCCAGAAAGCCACATAAAGGTGGAAAGAGACAACCGACTCCACAAACATCCTTTGACTTCCGCATGCACTCTTTGGCACAGAGAAAGGCCCTGCCGAAAACAAGATGAAATACAAGAACCAGCATGCAAAGCCTCTCTGTCCACACTCACACACACTCATGGGCACAAACACACACCATGCACACAATGATTTAATAATAATAATAATAACATCCGCCATCACCATGAAAACCCAGTGAAGAGACTCTGGTTTATGGTTTTCCTGGGGTTTCATGATCTGGCCCATGGGCCATTTCTGGTGCCACCACCTTCAAGGGTGTAAGAAGTCAATCAGTAGAGGAAACTCCAAAATATGCTCAGTTGAACTTCAAAACCACGAGACAAACTTTTATGATTCAGAGAGGTTGGTGCCCCCCAAATGTTGCAGCTACTGTCCAAGGGTACAGGAGAAAATGTTTGTGTGTTGAGTGGGGTGGGGGGTAAGTCTCTGATTTTGCCAGTTCAGAAACTCCCTTTCAGGCAAACTGTTTGTCTAAGCGGCTGGTAGGAGAGAAGTCAGAATACTTGTTTGGGAGACCTCCAGCCTGCAGGGCCTATGATGGGGTTGACTGCTTCATGGAAATCCAAGGTGGTGGGTTTCTTGAAGCCTTGTGCCTACTTTACTGCACTGGTTTTTGTTTTGTTTTGTTTTGTTTTGGGGGGGTCCTTTAAAGGGTTCTTGGGGATCTTCTGGAATGTGAATGCCAGTGAATTCTAGAACAAAAGGAATGTTTACCTTTGCCTGAAGATGGACCCCTGTCCACATATGTTTAGCCAAAGCCCAGTCACTTGATCCCTGCTTTACTGCAAGGGAGGCTGGGACATGTAGTCCAAGAGTACCCGGGAAGGGTAGCTGCCCGAGTGGGTAGGGATTTCTTTGCATTTCTTGCCTCTCTCCCCACACAATCATCCCTGCATGCACCCCACTCCCCTCCCCTGGCGCTATCACGCACATCCTCTTATCTCTGTTTCTGGGCCAGGAGTTACAATGAGAGTGCTCCAATCCAACCTCTCCCTCCCCACCACAGATAACGGACACTTGACCAATCGCAATTAGAGAAGGCTAAGAAACAGAAGACATTTCCGTTCACCTCAAAAGAAATTGCACAGAGGGGGATGGCAACCGCATTCAGACTATGGCAAACGCAATTGGCAACGTTCCCGGAACCTGAGCATGTTCATGCAAGGAGATGCTTGGCAGAATTCTCTTCCTCACTGTAAAACGGCGCTCCTGCTTCCAGAAGGCCCGGCTTAATTACAATATAGTTAAATGTTAAAGTCTTAGCCACTCAAGAACCACAACAGTTGCTTAATTACAGGGCCTCTGGAGGGGCCAGACAATTGGTGTTTAAAAGAATATTTCCTACAACAGCACCTTTTCACAAGGAGGCCCTGGTTCTTCCCAAACATTAATTAAGTTCCCCTCAGGAGGTCCCAGGCATGGGGTCTTTGATGACTGACAAAATTAGGAATCTTTGGGGCTAGAAAGATGGATCAGCAGTTAATGTTACAGAGAAATACTGGCCAAGAGGATACAGTCCCCGGCCTGGGTGGAGACCTACCATCCCAGCTGGGCTGGTTCAATCCTGTGGCCCAGAGACCACCCCCAGGAAGACTGGCTCACCTCACCATAAGCCACTCTGCTGAACAGAAAGGTGGAGTAATTAGCCCTTTAATGAGATACTGTACTTCTCCTTCCCAGAATCCCCCAGGGAACTTCAGGAGTTTGCCTGCTTTTCTGAATTATTCAGGAAAGTATAACGTTTCCATTTCTTCCTTCCTGAGCCTGCTTTCCTTAACCCTTTGGGTTTCCCCAACATCCAACATTTGGGGCTTGTTCCTTTCCTGCTGCCTCCCTCCCCGCCATGTGGCTGCTTGTCCAGCACATGCTTGGCCTCCGTGTCAGCTTAAATGACACTTTAAGATATATAGATCGTGCCGGGCAGGTGGTGGCACACACCTTTGATCCCAGCCCTTGGGAGGCAGAGGCAGGAGGATGTCTGTGAGTTCGAGGCCAGCCTGGTCTACAGAGAGAGTTCCAAGACAAAGCAATAAAGAAACCCTGTCTTGGAAAAAAAAATATATATATAGATATAGAGATAGAGATAGAGATAGATAGATAGGTAGGTAGGTAGGTAGACAGACAGACAGACAGACAGACAGACAGATAGATAGATTGTTTCCATTCACCTCCTCCAGGCAACTGCTAAAGTGTACTGTTTACCTGCCTTGGGGGTTGGGTTTTTTCTTTAAACTAAAAAAACTGTCTTTGAGCTTCCATTTGAATCCATTCCCAAATTCTTTTATTAATGAAACTAAAAACTCCAAGAGGGAACTCCAGCTCCCCCTGTGCCATCTGGAGCCATGAAGGGACGGACACCAAAGTTCCTGAAACACTAAGAGTGCTTACTGCTTCTGCAGTTTGGTTCCCAGCACCCACACAGTGGCTCAGAACCATCTGTAACTCCAGTTCCAGGGCTTGGATGCCCTCTTCTGACCTCCACCAGTACCAGGCCTGCATGTGGTGCCCAGACATACATGCAGGCAAAATACTCATACAAATACAAATAAAAAGTTCTTATTTATGTATTTATTTATTTATTTTGGTTTTTCGAACTCACAGAGATCCACCTGCCTCTGCCTCCCGAGTGCTGGGATTAAAGGCGTGCTCCACCAACGCCGGGCAAGTTCTTTTTTATTATTACTAGAAACCTTTGTCAGAAATAAAGTATGGCTCCGTCTTGGGGAAGGGGAGGGGCAATAGGCTTTAAGTACAGGCTGCACAGAAGTAAAACAAAGCAAGGTATTAAGGTATAGGAATGGTGGGGGTCAGAGCAGCCCACATTCACAATTTAAAAAGCTTGCTTTAAATAATTCGGCCATGATAATTTGGGTCAGTGGTCTTTCTCCTTGAATCTCTGGAATTAACAATCCCGGGCTTTGAGGTACATTGCTGACATATATAATCCCAGCAATGGGGAAACAGAGATGGGTAGATCCCTGGAGTTGAGGGCCAGCCAACCAAGCCAAACCAGTGGGTTCCAGGTTCAAGGAAGAACCCTAATCTCAATAAAATAAAGTAAAATGGAGAGTATCTGAGAAAGATACCCAACATCAACCTCTGGTCCCCATGTGAACTTGCACACATGCAAGCATATATATATACATACACACACACACACATGAACACACATACACCTCCCCATTAAATAACTTCATGAAACTGCTACCATGTTAGTGCATGGCATTTGGAGTAATCTAATTCTGTATTCCCTGGACACAGTCACTCAAATATAGCTCTACAATAAACTCTATTCTCTTTGAGGTGAGATTTGTGTTTTTGCATACACACACACACACACACACACACTTTATCTTTGCTAATTCACAGGTATAGCCATAATGTAAGTTTGGGAATTGAAGGGCCAGACCCTCACCCAGTCCCCTACTTCAGCTGCCATGACAGGCCGCAGAAAAGACCCAGCAAGATGTAGGCCCCTGACTCAGCAGGATGTGCTGAACCCCCTGGCCTTGCCCAACCTTGCCCTAATTACTGGGAATAAACTGCCAAACACCCTCCATGTGGTAAGGAACCAATCAGAAGTTAGCTGTCAAGCTTTGGATATGCTTTATTAATTAATAATAGTGGAATGCAGGATGTAGCAACCGCCCTAGGATGGCTTCTAGGCATAGCAACCTTTCTGCAACCGCAGCTGACCAATGAACTCAGGACAGGTTCCCCAGCATGGAGGTGCACCAACCCTGAGACCGTTGCCATGCAACTAGCCGATCCCTAGACACTCCCCTTGCTCTACTCCCAATATATGCCCTGTCCCACTGCTGCTCAGGGTCGATCCCTCCACTCTACCCACTGTGTTGGACGGACAGAGGACCCAAGTTAACTTGTACATTTAAAAGGCACTTTGGTGTTTTTTGGGATTTCAGAGTCTGGGCACAATAGAAATATGGTAAAAAAGATCCTTCTCATTTTCTTTCTTTTTTTCCCCCTTTAGCATTTTAATACAATATCCCACATAAACATCCTTTAAAATATTTCAGATAGGGGGCTGGTGGGATGGCTCAGCAGTTAAGAGCAGTGGCTGCTCTTCCAGAGATTCTGTGTTCAATTCCTAGCAACCACATGGTGACTCACGACCATCTGTAATGAGATCTGGTGCCCTCTTCTGTCATGCACACATGCAGGCAGAACACTGTATACATAATAAATAAATCTTTTTAAAAAATGTTTCAGACAATATTTTGTTCCCCGAATTAAGTAGTGCCAGGACGGGGCCGGTTGTCTAAGGAGACACTGAGATAGATTCCTGGGGATTGTGGAGTTTGGTAGATGAGCTATTAACACCATGGACAGACAAAGGGACAGGGGCATAGCAGAGGCCCCACAGAGAGTCAAGGCTCCAGCATTAGAGACAGACAGCATGGCAGGGGCTCTGAAGAGAATCAGAACCCAATCAGAGCCCATGTAGCTGAGGAGAGAAGCCTCTGTTTACATCTCTGAGGATGAGGGGAGGGTGGGATCAAGAGCCTGCAGCTAGGTTTTCTGATTCCCAGGCTGTTTTGACAGGGGGCTGGGGGTGGGGGTGGGGATCCGGGTAGTACAGAGAGAAGGTTATTTGTGGCACCAATGGTGCCAATACTTCAACATCAATTTAATGTGAGCTCACTTCCCAGGTAAGAAATCCTGGCTGCAATGTCCCAGTGGGTGCCTGTCCGTGTTTATGAGAGGGACAGCCGCTCAGCGCAGTCCAACAGTAAGTTCTTGTGGACATGTGAGTTCACCCTTCACTCCTGCTCAGATGGAGAGGGTAGGTCGAAGAGTGCCCTGCCTCAAACAGAGGCTGAAGGGGTGGGCTGGGACCCCCACCCCTAGCAGGGTGGGATAGATTTCCTGGACCATTTTTGGCAGACCTGGCTAGGTTAGATTTGGAGTGTGTAACATGCAACTTTGCCAAGTTCCGACTTCCACCCAGAGCTGGGCCAGGAAAGCGTGAAAACACGCTTGGAATTCCAAAAATGTGCCCTGTCTGGGGCCTCTGCTTGCCTTTCCCCAGACCCTCGGGGAGTTATAGACAGGGTCTGGGACCTCCCACTATCTGTGGACAAAGAAAAAGAAAACCCGTTCCTCTCCCACAAGCAGGATTAATGCTACAGACTTGCTGGAGAGGTAAGCAACCCACACCCTCACTCTGGGTTCAGCCAGGAGAAATCCTCTGCACCCCCAGAGCTGTGCCAAACAGTGTGCCTCGGGGGACCTGCTCTAAAGCAGAAGTCTGGATTCTTCACCCCAATAATGCATCCCAGGAATAGAACCCTGAGATCATTATAGGAGGGTTCAAAGCACTCAGGACACAGAAGGACAACAGCGGATAAGAGACAAGACACTGCGGGCAGGGGACAGCCATCAGGGAACATCACACCTGATTGTGTGTTAGGCATAAGGAGTAAGTCAATGAAGAAAAGTGAAAGAATAGATTCAGACCTCAAAAAGGCTAGAGAAAACCTTTACTGGTCTAAAAGGTTGGCGTCCCCAAACGCTGCAGCCCAGTATACAAGGGCACAGTAAAACACATCCTGTAGGGTCTGATAACAGTTTGGAGGAAAGTAGCAGGGAGGCATGGCTTCATGGGACCCAGAAACTGCTTTTCTATGTAAACTGTTTTTTGAACTGAGAAGGGAGGTAAATGGACTGCCTGTTTTTGCAACCTGTCTGGGCTGTGGGTGGGAGATGAGTCGCATTGCCAAATACCAGGCTCCAGGGCTCCAGGAACTACTTTCTGGAGTGCCATACATGGCTGGCCCTGATTTGGAAGGTGAGGGGAGTTCCTTTATTAGGCACAGTTCTGAGTCCAGATGGCACCTGTTGGGAGGCCCAGTTTCTTGTGTCTCAGAGCAAAGGATGATACCAGGGGCACATGTAGAACAGAGATAGAGACAGTGTATTAACACGAGAAAAGCACACCCAAGAATGGAGTAGGCTAGAGCTGGGACAGGTCTGAGGTTCCTAAGTCCCAAAGCTCCACGCCCTCTGGTGTTGTTCACAAGGTGCAGGCCTTCTGCAGGGCATGAAGATCCCTGCCCCTTCTACACCTGCCCGTGGTTACAGGCCGCCCATGGTTGGGAGGTGGTTCTAGCCTTCCTCAGCCGCTGATTTTGTCTAGATCTGTCAACCTAGACCCTTCCTTCTAATTCTACTCCTCTGCCACAATCATGGGCGTCTTTAGGTTGTTCCCACAGAGCTGGACCTGGAGCCTGGACCAGAAGCGTGGCTGTGAATGAGCTGAACTCAGAAACTCCAGCACAAGAACATTTGGTTTTTCCTCCAATCCTCACCTCCAGCCATGTGTGTCCAATCTCTCTTGGGTGTACCCAGGTGTAAAAAATCCAGTCCAAAGAGAAAGTTTCTCCAACCTGCCTTCTCTACCCACACTCCCCTCCCATGAGGTGCCAAGCAGGAGGCAAGGGCTATTGGGACATGGATGTTCTTGAGGGGGAGGGTGGTTAGAGAACCCATATTAGCAAATGCCTTCTCTTCCAGCCATTTAGTCTGAGCCCTGCCCTCCTGGGGGGAAGCCCACAGTGCAGCCTGTTAGAATGCAATGCCAGATGCCGCTCACACCATGCCCATCAAAGATGTGTGTCTCCAGTAACAGCTGATTCTGTGCATCTGCCTCAGCCTCCCAAGCCATCTATCGGGGCTATCCTGGCCCAGGTGATGTGACAGGGAGAGGCAGTGCAGAGATTGGATCATCTTGTATTCTTGCTGAGGCCATTTTAGGTTTAACTAGAATTTCACCCCCCTGATAGAGAAGCCCATGGAAAATTACCTGGCTGTATTCCAGGACCTGAGGCTGAGAAGCCCCAGTTTCTGCTAAACTGCTTGCTTGTGCAAAACCTCCCCCTGCAGCTGAGCGAGATATCAGGATATGATGTTTGCCTTTAAAAGCCCCTTGGTTTAAATGTCTGGGACTACCCTTCGACACTGAATACCTGAGTGTGGTCCCAGCCAGCTGGAATAAAGACTTTCATTTGACTATAAATTGTGTCTGAGTGGTCATCTCTGGTGAGCTGTCATCTCCCAATAACAGTGACACACATGAGGGAGTAAGTGTTAGATCCCTGATAAGCAGAAAAATAGGGAGAGGGGTCATTGCTCAGTAGTAAAGACCCTGAACTCTACAATGACTAACATCTTCCTACCTTGCTGACATAAAGCAAAAGCCTGCAGCTTAAAACGGAGGCCTGGAGGACTTTTAGTAAGGAGAGCCTCTGCTGATGGACCTGCCTGACAAGCTGAAGGCTGGATCAGGACATGTTTACGCCAAAGTTGTGGACTTATCAGCAACCTTGTGTTTTGTTCAACCTGAGTAACCTTAAATTAGGGGAGACTGGGAGACTGTTAAGACTCCAAGCCCTTAAGGGAAGGCTGTATTGGGGGCCCCTGACACCCCTCCTCTGCCTCGTAAAGGGTTTCCTTTCAGTGTGCTCTGTCATTTGTGTGTCTCCCCTCACTCCTAAATAAAGATCTTCTCTGGCTGGTTCTATCTGCTGTATCTGAGATTTTCCCCATTGCTATCTTTTGTACTCAAGATGTTTCATGACTTTTAATTCTTTAACTAGCAGGGAAAACAAACCCAATCAAGACACCTTGATGATAACGCTATGAACTAGTCATCACCCATATGACATTGAATTCCCATTTTTCCTCTGAAACCTACCCAGCTGCAATGCCTATGAACGACAGTGACAAACAGCACCACAAAACAACCCTACGGGCGCAATAGTGGCACTCAGATCTCGGTAGTAACCAACAGTGCTATATAATTGACCTTGAGGCCTGTTCAACAGGAAAGAAATCATGCCTTGAACTGGAAATTCAGCCAACCTCCCATAGATCCTAGAGGAGAACCTACAACTGCCAGTTTACTAACCCAATACCCACAGATCAGTGTAGTTCTCACCCTTCATCAAGAAACTTCATTCTGCAACAGATCCCATTATAAAACCCACAACTGATCAAAATATAGAGAACAAGTGATTGTGGGGCACCCAGCACCAACTGATACAACCACAACACAATTCCTGCACCAAAACCCACCAGTCCCGTAGAAGTGGTCCCGAATGAGAACTACCTAGATGAACCCAAGGACACAGAACTTAACAATCACAGACTTTACCGATGATTTCAAAGAGGTTAAACAAGACACAACCAAACAGCTTAAATAACTTGAAGAGAATGAATTTAAAGAAAATAATGCCTGATTGATGACCAAGAAAACTTGAACATAAAGGTGAATGAAATGTTGAAGACAATCCAGAATTTGAAACAAAATTCAATAAAGATCTAGAAATGCTGAAGGGAAAAAAAGCTGAAATGAGGGTAGAATTGAAAATTCAATATCCCAATTAAAAATCTCAGGGGAAAGGCTTACGAGTAAAATGAATCAAGTAGAAGATAGACTACCAGGATATAAAGAAAAGGAATTGAAGAGTTAGACCACACAAGCAAAGAATAAGAAAAAATTAAAACACAGAAAAGGAACATGAAAGAACTGTTGAACACCACAAAAAAAAGCCAAATCTTTTAATTATAGGTATAGAAGAAGGAGAAGAATACCAGGTCAACAGCATAGATCAAATCTTCAACAAGCACAAAAGAAAACATGCCTAAACTAAGATTTATCTATACAGATACAAACACACAGAACACCAAACAGACAAGATTAGAAAAGAAACTCCTCACAGCATATCATACTTAAACACTAAATATACAGAACAAAAAAAAGTATTGAAAGTTACAAGAGAAAAAACATAATTCACATATAAAATAAAGCCCATTAGGATAACAGCTGATTTCTCAATGGAAAATTTGAAAACCAGAAGAACCTGGAGCAATGTACTCCAAGTTCTAAAGACCATGAATGCCAGTCTAGACTACTGTACCCAGAAAAACTGTCTACCATAGTTGAAGGAGAAAGAAAAGTGTTCTAGGTTACAAATAGGATAAAAGAATTCATGTTCACCAAACCAGCCTAATAGAGAATACTGGAAGCAATACTTTGTACTGAAGAGAGAAGCATAGCCAAGAGACTAAAGAAAGAAAAAAAGTGAAGCTATAATTCCTGAGACACAACTTTGAATAAGAGCACAAATAGCAAGGAGGCTTGAGAGATGGCTCAGTGGTTAAAAACACTAACTGATCTTCCAGAGGCCCTGAGTTCAATTCCCAGCAACCACATGATAGCTCACAACTATCTGTAATGAGATCCAGTGCCCTCTTCTGGCCTGCAGGCATACATGCAGACAGAACACTGTATATAATAAATAAATAAATACTTAAAAAAAGAACATAATTAAAAACTGCAATCAACACACACCTTCCAATGAAAACTTTAAATATTAATGGCATCAACTCTTCAAACAAAAGACTCAGGCTGACTGAACTGAGAAAGAAACAAATCCATCATAGGAGGGAAAGGTAGTTCAAACAAATAGAAACAGAAAGCAAACAGGCATCACTCTAATACCTGACAAAACAGACTTAAATCAAAACTAATCAGAGGAGATAAGGAGGAAGAACACGTTATTCTAAATATATGTGCAACAAACTCTGGTGTACCCAGCTTCACAAAGAGCTGCCACTGACATTAAAGACATATATTAACCCCAACTCAACAACAACTGGTAATTTCAATACTCCACTTTTTCCAATAGATAGGTCATCTGGACAAAAATAAACAGTCTAAATTAAATGACATCATGTATCAAATGGATATAACATACCTACAAAGTATTCTACCCAAACACTAAATAACATGCAAATAATATACATTGAACTCAGGCTATGAAAGCATCTATAAATAGACCATATACTGTGAGACAAATTCAGACAAATTGAAGTAACTCCATTTATCCTCTCTGAACACTGTTAACAGTTAAAACTGACAGCACTATCCCTCATGTGTTGCCTCCACTGCAGACACTCATTAGCTCTTCGGTTTTTGTGGCATATTGAATCAGCCTAAGTCACAATCTTAGACTCCTCAAGCTAAAAGGAACCTTTTTTTAACACATTAATTAACCAGCCTCAGACACTTCCTTACGACGAATAAAAACAGGCTAAGTAGCTGGGCCTTGCGGTGCATACGTGTAATTCCAGCACTTGGGAAGTGGAGTGTCTTAGGGGTTTCTATCACTGTGAAGAGATGCCATGGGCAACTCTTAGAAACAAAGTATTTAATTGGGGTGACTCGCTTACAGTTTTAGAGATTCGGCCCATTGTTATCATGGTGGGGAGCACAGCAGAGTTCAAGCAGACATGGTGCAGGAGGAGAAGCTGAGAATCCTACATCTTGCAGGCAACAGGAAGTCTACTGAGACATTGGGAGGTATCCTGAGCATAGGAAACCTCAAAGCCCACACCCATAGTGACACACTTTCTCCAACAAAACCATACCCACTCCAACAAAGCCACACTTCCTAATAGTGTCAGTCCCTATGAGAGTATGGGGGCCAGTTACATTCTAACTACCACATGGAGGCGGGGAGATGAGGAGTCTAGGCCAGCTTAAGCAAGATCCTGTCTCACAGATAGAAAGGTAGAGGCTAATACAGAGGAGTGGCCCAGCTGCAGTTCAGGGAATGATGACGGTGAAGCAGAGGTGCCCCGCAGCTCTGCTTGTTAGCAATGTTTATTTCCTCACCTGGCCCATGCTTACACAGCTGTTCAGTACATTACCAACACAATCATGTTTGGTGCCTTTTCCTGTGTGGTTGTACACTTAAGAGAAAGAGTCATTAAAAAAACCACAAACCAACAGGATGGAATACTACACACATCTCCCAGGCCTGTGATAAAGCCTTCAGTGTGAGCCCATGGCAAGCTTTACAGTCCACCTGCTCTCGGGTGGCATGGACATGACCTCTGAGAGATAAGAGAGGGTATATTCTCTAGAAAATCCTCTACAGAATATACTCATTTGGTTGAATCTTGGGACAGAGAGGTGGAGGTTATGTTCTACGGTGAGGGTTTGAGCATGGCTCCTGGAGAGATGGATGGGATATGGTGAAATCAGGGAGGCCTGGAGTCTCAGCATGTCCTCTTCCAAACACATGACTGCCTCTGACCTAGTCAGGGACTATTTGGGCTGCTTCTGCTGATGGGACCAAATGCTTCCGTGGCTGTGTGCTCCCCACAGTGAATGAGGTGTAAGAGCCAGTCAGTATGGGCTGTGGCCGTGGGGTTCCGGGGCTGGAGAGATGGCTACGTAGGTAAGGGCAGTTGCTGCCAAGCCTAATGCCTGAATTAGATCCACAGTAACTACATAGTAGAAAAAGAGAACTCCTGCAATGTGTCCTGTATCTACTCTATCCTAAACCCCCCCATAGAACACACACACACACACACACACACACACACACACACACACACACACAGAAAGAATACCCCTAATGAATAAACAAATAATGTCATAATAAAAGGAAATATTTCAATATGCATGTTTTTCCCCTAAGCACTTCTTTTTCTTTGTTTCAGATTTTGTTTGATGGCAGTATCTCCCAGGCTGACTTGGAATCCTTGATGGAATCAACAGTCTTGAATAGTTTTAACTGTTAAATTGACACAACCTAGAATCACCTGGTAAGAAAGTCTCAATGAATTATCTAGGTCACGTTGCCCTGTGAACCTGTCTGTAGGGGATTATCTTGACTGTTCATCGATGGGAGAAGACCCACTCCCTGGTTTGGGGCCCTGAACTGTATAAGAGTAAAGAGAGCTAGCTGAGCAGAAGCAAAAAGTAAGTGCGTGTCTAGTCTCTCTCTGCTCATAATTGGATATCATGTGAATAACTGCTTGAGTTCCTGTCTTGCCTTCTCTGCAATAATGGACGAAAACCTGGAATCATAAACCAAATAAATGCCTTCTTCCCTGAGTTGTTTTTTTTTTTTTTTTTTTTTTTGGCCAGGATATTTTATCACAGCAACAGACCAAAACCAGAACAGTGAACAACCCTGAAAGAGCAAGAATGCTCTGCTACAG